AACGTGTCCCTGCCTCCCTCCTTCCCTACACCCGCAGTGTGCCCCTCACTCCACACACCTGCAACGTGCCCCACCCTCCATACACATGCAGAGTGCCACTCCCCAAAGTATCCCAAGTTTACCCCTCCACTCTCAACGTGCCCTTCCCTACACTCCTCTGAACCACACCTCCCTCACACCTGAACTGCCCCTCCCCCTCCCACACCTGACCCCTCCCTCCCCCATCACCTCAGGGTGCTGGCTGCCCTGGCACTGGGTGGATGTTCCCCATCCCCCTGGGAGTATTCCAGGAGCTGCCGAAGGGGAGAAATAAGGCAGGGCTTGCTCCCTGTGCAGCACATCTCAGCCCTGCTCTGCTCTTAACTGCACAGGGGTCAGGCTGGGGAGGTTCTTCAAAGCTCCCTCCTTGCCAAATTCCTGCCAAGTTCCTGTCTCTGCCCCACCTCCTCAGGGGTTGGGGGCTGGGGACCCCTTTGGCTTACGTTCAGCTTTTCTGAAGGGAAGGGAACAGTACTGATCCCCCACACCTGTGGCAGCCCTTTGATCCCCACACACCACGTCAAGGTGAGCTGCAGCTCTGCACCCACCAGGCTCAGGTTCATTTGCATTTTCACAGACCAGCAGGCGGTCCCAGACTGGGGGGAGAATTTCCCCCTCCTTCCTGGCTCTAGGTACCTCCACCATCTCCAGGGCAGCTGCCATATTCGTAACTTGGGCGCTTCCCACCCTTGGGTGGGAGTCATAGTTTTGGCAGTGCCCGCAGCTGCCTCGGTGTCCCCAATTTTGGAGACACCACCATCCTCATGTTGAGTGCTGCCCTGGGTACCAGAGAGAGTATTTCCCTGGCCTGGCCTTCAGGACTCAGAGAACTTCCCTTCAGGCCAGTAGCAGAGTGCTCAGTCCCAGGCATTGGAATGCACAGGGCAGAGGTCACTTGATCTCAGCAGTGTGCTGGGACATTGGCCGGGGGATACATTTGCATTTTGGCTAACACACCCCTGACGCAGCTCTGAGGTGAACTGAGGGGTCTGATTCACCCATAATATCTTTCCTCAATAACACCGCGACTGGAATATCTGCAAGGGCACCTATACCAGCTCCCCTGAGCCTGCCTGCGCCTGGATTCACATCTCTGCTATAGGTACAGCGAAGGCTTTTACACCAGGGACTTTCCCCAGACGCCACACTCCAGGCACATCTGATGGAGTTTCACCACTTGGGCTTTAACTTTAGTTCCAGTATCTCACCATTTGACAAATGTCTCCCCATTAACTATCACCTTCCAGCATAGGCGGCGACTCCGCAGGTGCTCCGGGACTGGAGCACCCACAGGGAAAAATTAGAAGGTGCTCTGCACCCACCGGCAGCCAAGCTCCCCCCTCCTCGCCTCCTTCTCCCCCTCCCAGCGCGCTGCATCCCCGCTCCTCCCACTCCTTCCCAGTGCTTCCCACTCCCCTGCCGCCTAACAGCTGTTTGGCGATGTTTAGGACTTTCTGGGAGAGAGGGGGAGGAGCCGGGGATGTGGCACGCTCAGGGGAGGAGGCAGAGAAGAGGCGGGGACTTGGGGGAAGGGGGTGGAATGGGGGCGGGAAGGGGGCAGGGCTGTGGTGGGAAAAGGCGGGGTGGGGACTTTGGTGAAGGGGTGGAGTGGGGGCGGGGCGAGGGTGGTGCAGGGGCGGGCCAGGGTCAGGTTGAGCACCCACCGGGCAGAGGGGAAGTTGGTGCCTATGCGGCTTCCAGGACCACTGGGGATCCGATGGCTCTGCACCCAGGAGGGTGCAGCACGAGGGCAGTGGTTTGGGATGTGACTGGCTCAGCATGAATGTGAGATGCCATCGGGGGCCTGGCTCCATGACTCCCTCCTTCCAGAGATTCAGTCCCACAGTCTGTGAGGCTGGGGTGCAGCTGGTCTTCCCAACACTGCACTGTGCGGAGCAGGCAAGTGAACCAGCTGGCAATAGACGGGCACTGCTTTTCCCCACCCGTCCCGGGGCTTGGGCACGATGGCTCATCCAGCTCAATGGCAGAGAGTCCAACAGGTGGGGAAATCTCAGGGACAGCTTCCTAGAGGGAAGCAAGGAAGAGGCTGACAGAAGTGACAACTGTGCTCCACCCAGACTTCAGCAGAGATCATGGGCAGATCTACAGGTAGACTTAGAAGCTGCAACTCGAGAGGGACAGATTGAGTCTAGAAGCTCAGCTGCTTGCAGACTGGGAGAAGCAGTGTCAGTGCGACGAGAGAGAGAAGGACAAAGATCAGCATCAGTCTGAGATGGAGAGACTGTGTCAGCAAAACCCTCATAATTATTGTGGGCCCGGATGATCAGAGGACTATTCTGAATGATGTGCCAAGAATGGTCTTCTGGGACAATCCATGTGAAGTGGAATTCCTGGGAACATCTAGGAGGAGGTGAGGGGAAATGCCTTCCACCAGGTATGCAAAATCCCAGCCATTTAAAGCTACACCCTGAGGAAGGGGCCATCGTCCACTGCCAGACACCGACAGTCTGAAGATCAAAGGCCCAAGCTGCATAAAGAAAGAGGCTGATCTGCCCAGCCGGGTGCTTGTTCTGAGCTGAGGCTGTTATGAACTCGTAACCACAGAAAACCCCTGGGTGGGGGTTGGAGGACTGACTCCTCCCACAGCCCTTGTTGGAGCTGGGGTGACCTCTCTGGAGCTTATTAGCATGTGAGTAGTTTCTCTGATTGTTTTTAAGATGTTTTCTCTGTAGTGCTTTCACCTTAAGAATAATTGCGACGTATCACAGTGGGCAATTACGCTGCTTATAGCCTCTGGAGAGACAGTGAAGTGCAGATGCTTTTAGGCAATCTGGCTTGCTGGGAATGACACTGTGTAAGTGGGAAGCTGCGCAGCCTGGAAAAACTCCGTTCAGGAGGGAGAGAGGCGCGGATCTCTGCTCAAGAGATGTGACCACGGCTGGGAAGCCGGGAGCCTGTGAGTGGGTGCCCTTGCTGGACCGCTGAGGGGAAATACTGGGGCAGGTGCCCAGGCCTGTGACTAGGATTATAACGCTTACAGGCAACGTAAACACACTTTGTTCCAACGACTGACATTGCCCCCTGAAGCGTATAGGAGAAAGTTTGGGGGAATTCAGAAAAAAAGGGATATAACCCAAATTAGGGAATAGATGTCAATACAGACGCCAGAGAAGGTGCTGGGATTCTGACTGTGGAATGTGGGAAGTGGTTTTTCTTGATGTGTTATTTTCTGTACTGATGTAACAGGCTTGAGTCCAGAGGGCTCAGGTACAAACCCACTAGGGCCAAACTCAGTGGTCAAGGGGGCGAACGCGCTGTCTGCCCTCACCCTGGGAGCAGGGAGACACTGGCACAGCTAGAAAGTGCTGAGGGTCAGAACTGTGCTCGGAGCCAGGAAGACTGTGGCACAGCTAGAAAATGCTGTGATTCAAAACTGCATAGGGGAAGGGAAACTGAGGCACAGCCCGGAGATGATGTGACAGAGCTCCTGTGGAATGAGGGAGACTGAGGGTAGTAAAGAGTGCTGCCCGCCAGAGGGTGGGTAAAGCCCAAGTGGGGGTGTGACTCCCCCACTGGGGGGAGTGTAGAGGTTACAGAGGCGGGAAGGTGCCCCTTAATCTGTCACTTGAGGTGTAATTAAACCCCAGGGGAATGGGGGAAGGAAACACACCTCACTTCTGCCCACGGAGGTGTGAACATGGGAAGGACCTATAATGTGGTCACAAAATTGCATTTCAGTGTGACCATTGGAAGTGCTACTGACTGTATGAACTTCGGATTAAGCAGCAGCAACAGCAGATGCTCTGTCTAGCAGTGTGGGGCCAGAACACCCCTGGGGTACATGCAGGGTACTCCGGCTCGGTTCTTTTGGAAAAGGGAGCAATGTGGCGAATAGGGAGTCTTGTCTGTACCACTTGCGAAGGGTGGATGATTTTATGAAACTATACCAGGGAATGTCGGTGTCATGGAAAGCCGGGCTGTGCCATGCCTCTGCCAGGCCAGAGACACCGGTGAGTGATCTGAGCTCAAAGATCCTTTAGTCAAAGTTCAATGCCTTGGGACAATGGGTTTGCTCTTCCTCTGGTGAAGGGTGGCAGGGGGTTGGGGGGGGGGTAATGGCAACTGACCAAAAGGTAGAACAAAGGAAGCAGGTGACCCCAGCAGGAGTCCCTAAATTGACTCAAGGGGAGAAGGGGAACTGGGGAGAGAGCCACCTTGCACCAGACTAGGGTGAGGGAGGCTGCTGCAGGGGCAGGCTAGGCAGTGGACTGGAGGATCCTGCCTGCCTGGCAGACAGAACCCAGCTGATCCTCCAAGGGAAGGGATATTGTGGTTACGGGGTTTTGTTGACCAGGGCTCTCCTGTGCTTTACATGATTAAATATAAAGAGCATAAAGTTGTTAGACTGAATAAAATGCATGTGTGTTGGGGGGGTGCTGACTGCTTCACAACGGCTGCCTGTCCCCGAGGTAGTTAAACTGCACCCCTGTCTACACTACAAACGTACGTCGATATCACTATGTCACTCGGAGTGTGGATTGAGCGACGCAGTTATACCAACCTAGCCCCTGCTGTAGACAGCACTATGTTGCTGGGAGGGCTTCTCCCGTGACACGGCTACTGCCTCTCAGGGAGGTGGAGTGCCTACCCCGACGGGATACGCTCAGCAGCGCAGCTGCGCTGCAAGTGCAGACAAGCCCTGCAACCCGAAGCTTCCCACCTGTGGGGTGGAGATCTGGCAGAGGGTGGGTTTAACTGTGGGGGAGTTTGAAGGGTCAGTGCTGCACCCCAAGCGGCAGGGCAGCTGGACAGCGAGTTCCAGCACTCAGAGGGGGGTGCCAGAGAGACGGCACGCCTAGGGACCCTGAGATTGGGGCTGTGCCTGGACTCCGTTCAGATTCAGGGAGCTTGAAACACCGCTGGGAATGCAGAATGGAAGAGGCTTGGGTTCCCCACACAGCAACCCCAGTGGGTGGCCAGGAAGGGGTGCTCCCTAGGAACTGTGCCACCCTCCCTGCACCCAACCACGAGGTGCCGCTTCTCTGACACTCACCTGAACCGTGCGCTCCCCCAGACACCCACAGCCTAACTCCTCCAGTGTTTGCCTCCCCACACACGCTCACAGCATGCACCTCAGACACCCACACAGTGTACAGCTCCCCCCTCAGGCACTGTGCCCCTCACCCAACACAAACACTGTACTTTCCACAGCTTCGCAAAGCTGCATTGCCCACCCCCGCCCGTGTGCATGGGAAGGTACATAGTGGTGGGTTGTATGTATGTGTAGGGGGATGGTTAGCTGGGGACTGGGTGTGCGTGGGGGGGGGGGTTAACAGTGGGCTGTGTCTGTGTAGGGGGGTAGCGGTGGGTTGGGTGTGCATGGGGGGGGGTAGAGGTGGGCTCCGTATGTGCGTATTCATGATTAGCGGTGGGCTATGTGCACATAGGTTGTGGTTAGTGGTGTGCTGTGTGTGTGCATAGGGGTGGTTAGCGGTGGGTTGTGTGCGTGTATGGGTGGATAGTGGTGGGATGTGTGTGCATAGGAAGTGGTTAGCGGTGGGCTGTGTGCATGGATGTTTAACAGTGGGCTGTGTGTGTGTGAGCATAGGGGTAGATAGTGGTGGGATGTGTGGGTGTGCATAGGGGTGGTTAGCGGTGGGCTGTATGTGCGCGTAGGAGTGGTTAGCGGTGGGTTGTGTGTGCGCATAAGGGTAGACAGTGGTGGGCTGTGTGTGTGCATAGGAAGTGGTTAGCAGTGGGCTGTGTGCATGGGGGGTAGCAGTGGAATGTGTGTGCATCGGGGGGGGGGTGTTTAACAGTGGGCTGTGTGGGTGAGCATAGGAAGTGGTTAGCCGTGGGCTGTGTTTACGTAGGAGCTAGTTGGCGGTGGACTATGTGTGTGTCATGGGCTACCCATGGGCTTTGTGTGCATGGGGATGTTATTGATGGGCTGTGTCTAGGTTGGGGGGTTAAGCTGTGAGTTGCATCTATCTAGAGCGGTTAAGCTCTGGGTTGTGTGTGCATAGGGAGTGGTTAGTGGTGAGCTGTGTGCATGTAGCGGTGGTTAGCGGTGGGACGTGTGTGCATGTTGGTGGTTAACGGTGGGCTGTGTGTTTGTGCATGGGGAGTAGCGGTAGGCTGTAATTGTGATTAGTGATTAACAGTGGGCTGTGTGTGCGTAGGGATGGAGAGCAGTCGGATGTGTGTGTGGGTAGGGGTGGATAGCGGTGGGCTGTGTGTGTTCATGTGCATAGGAAGTGGTTAGTGGTTAGCTGTGTATGTGTGAGGGGGTTGCGGTGGGCTGTGTGTGTACACAGGGGGTGGTTAGCAGTGGGCTCTGTGTGTGCATGGGGTAGTTAGCTGTGGGCTGTGTGCGTGTGGGGCAGGGGGGTTAAGCTGTGGCTGCGTCTATGTAGAGGGGTTAAGCTCTGGACTGTGTGTGCATAGGGAGTGGTTAGTGGTGAGCTGTGTGTGTGTAGGGGTGGTTGGGGTGGGCTATGTGTGAATGTTGGTGGTTAATGGAGGGCTGTCTGTGTGCACAGAGGGGGTTAGCGGCGAGCTGTCTGTGAGTATAGGGGTGGTTAGCAGTGGGCTGTGTGTACACAGGGGTGATTAGCAGTGGGCACTTTGTGCAGCAAGTTGGTAAGCAGTGGGCTATGTGTGCATGTGGAGGGTGGTTTGCAGTGGGATGATTGTGCATAGGGGTGGCTAGCCATGGGATGTGTGTGTGGACAGGGGTGCTTAGTGGTGGGATTTGTGTGTGCATAGGGGTAGTTAGTGGTGGGCTGTGTGTGTGGACAGGGGTGCTTAGTGGTGGGATACGTGCATGTGAAGGGGTGTTTAGTGGTGGGCTGTGTGTGTGTGTATTAGTGATTAGCGGTAGACTCTTTGTGCATGGGGGTGGTTAGCAGTGGACTGTGTGCACATGCAGGCGGTGGTAGGCGGTCGGCTGTTTGTGCATCAAGTTGGTTAGCAGTGGGCTGTGTGTGCATCTAAAGGGTGGTTAGTGGTGGGCTGTGTGTGCATGTGGAGGGTGGTTTGCGGTGGGATGTTTGTGCATGGGGGGTTATGGTGGACCTTGTTTGTGTGCAGGGAACGGTTAGTGGTGGACTGCGTGTATGTGGGATGGTTAGCGGTGGGCTATGTGTGTGCATATTAGTGATTAGAGGTGGGCTGTGTGTACGTATGTAGCAGGGTGCTGGTGCAAAGGCACCTAATTAGCCCCTGCTCAGC